TTGAATTATACTGTATATACAATAAGTTTACAAAAAAAATATTTTGAAATATAAAATATTTATAATAAATTTAAATATAATCTAAATTATGTTCAGATCTTAATCATCTCCTCAAATTTAAGATGGTTATGATGCAATCACCGGGAAATAAATTTTTTTTTTTGCTATTAATTAAAAAAATGTATTAATTAAAGTAAGTACGTACAGAGCAGGTAGCTCATAAAGAGAAATGGAAAACGAACCAGGTAAGTGGCAACCATAACATATTCTCCCACGTGGTCGGCTCACCGTTTCAGTCCAAATCCACAGATTTTAGGCAACATTTTAGTAATTAAAGAAACTGAAGGAAGGGATTCAAATCAGTGAGCATAGATCCGAAACCGGCTTTTCAGTATATGCTAACCATTTGGGCGGCTAAACAGGACAACGATGATTAATTTAATCTATTTTGTTAGAAAAAAATAAATAAAATTTAAGATGTTTTAGTAATTTAAATATTAAAATTTTATATAAAATTATTTAAATATTTTTAATAAAATAGTTTTTATATTAATTTATTAAAATTATTTGAATTCATTATTATTATTTTTTAAAACTTTTTATCGTTATTTTTTAAAACATTTTTATCGTTATTTTTAATATTTAATTACTAAAATATCATAATTTTTTTATATCCCTCGCTGTAAATCTAAAAGCATCACTCTCTCTCTCTTCTTTCCCTGTCCTGATAACTTTTTTTTGGCTTTTTACGCAAACTTTACCTAGTAATATTTTTTTTATAAAGCATCTACATTGTAATGAACTTTTTTTTGAAGAAAAAAAAAAAGGTTAGAAAGAGTGCTGCCTAAGGAAAAAAGAGTTTTACAATTATCATTCGTATCTTAAATGAAAATGTTACTTAAAATTAGGATAAATGAAAAGTAAAACAATAGATAAAAAAAACTTTAATATTGTAAAATAATAACTATTAGATGAAAGAGTTTTATTTTAATATGAAAAATCTTACTTAATTTAATAATTAAATATTTTATAATTTAATATATTTTAAACCATTAAAAACAAGCACTTAAGTTTTAGTTAAAAATAAAACTAAAGCAACTAATTTAAATAGGACTATCTAATTACAAAGAAACTATTTCACAGTTTATTCTACAGCGGAAAAGTACAAGGAGTTCCACCACAAAAGAAATACACTCGCAGAGCAAAAGCACAACATAACATATTATTAGTAACTACCAGAATAACAGTCTCTCGACACCCTTTTTTATTGAACTGGCTAGTTATAAGTCTTGGAAACTCCGTCAATGGAGATTTGTTCGTCAATTAAGAGATCAACGTTTCCACTGTAAATCTCGGTCTCGATCTCAAGCTCAATCAGTTCCTTTAAGTTGATAGGCCAAATAACATCTGTTGATCCATTCCACAGCAACTTAATTAATTGAATGTTGCAGGCTTCAGTAGGATGGGCTAAATCAAAAAACACATGTTCACTGGGATCACTGCAAAGTTCATACGCTGACGTTAAACTACCACAAGTAGTGCTTCCTCGGTTTGGCCCACTGCCGCAACACGCTACATCCCCTTCCTTAAAACCTTTACAATGACATTTTAAAAATCGTCAATATGCACATAAAAAACAAAAAGAAAAACCTTTAAAAGTAGAATGAAAATGGCAACACACTACAAGATGGTTATATATTATATACCATATTTTTTTGGGTTTTGTATCCTATCCATTACTACGTTGAAGAAATCGAATATTAAATAATTGAATCCTGGTAACTTGCTTGCCAACTCCTGAGCAACAATATTTAGTGCATTATTGTGCATGGTCGCTATAGTTTGGAGTGATTCCACGCAGTCAGAAGTGTTGTAGGATTGTTTCGATCCTGGCACACATCCAAGCGGTGCTACATTTTGAAATGCGAATTTTCTTCCACCCATTTCATATATTTCCTGCTTGAGAAAAAAATAGATGAAAAATGCATGAAAAAGGGAAAAATATATATATAGTAAGGACCATGATTGGTTTACACTTATCGTACCACACTCTCGTTACACACTCTTTTTTTTGTTAGCTCCCACACATTTCGTTAGTCTCCATTATACTCTACCAAGTTCCCACCCTCTTCCTTTTTTTTTTTTTTATTTATTTTTTCCTCCCAAGTTCTCTTGGAGAACCCAAATCAGATTCTCAAAGAAGAACTCAGGTCTGGGTTCTCCTGGAAAACCCACCAAGAACCTGATCTGAGTTCTCCAGAAAAACAAAAAAAAAGAAAATAGAAAAAAAGAAGAAGGTGGGAACCTGGGAGAGGCTAGCAATTGTCTTGCAGATGATTAGGATAAAAATATATGGAGGTGAGGAGGAAGATAGATCTGGTGAGGACGAAGATGGATCTGGTGAGGACGGTAAGGGTTGGGTGAGTTGGGAGATGACTGAATTGGGAGATGACTGAAGATGTGGTAACGGAGTTAAGTGTAATTAACAGTAAAATAACAAAAATTGAAGGATGTAATAAAGTGTGTGGTATGGGAGTGTGCATGCATCATTATCTTATATAGTAAACATCTATTTATATATACATTTTATAAATTATACTTACATGAAATATCAATTTTTTATTTTTTTTATTTTTAATACTTGAGATTTATTTATATTTATTAAAAATAATTATTTATTTTATCTAGAAAGTCATGATAATTTTTAATCATTAAAAATGAAAAAATGAATGATTGAAATTTTTTATAAATATGGTGCATAAAATTTATGTGTAAGTGCATTTTTCTTCACATATATATATATATATATATTTTTCAGTTGCCATACCTTTACTGCATCTGTTATATTACCAATCACAATGTCTACGTAATCTTGTATCTGTGATTCAGTAACATTAGTGGCAGAAACGGCAAAGGAAGTTAGATCAACTCCTCCAATGCTAGAGTAATAGATGGCTCCTTGTAAAAGCTCTTTTGCATCTGCTTCACCTTGCTGATCCTTCAACAAATTTGCGACTTCCTTGAAGTAGTCGAGTTGTACTTCAAGGGGTATCTGAAAAAAAAAAAAAAAATTCAAGCATTATGAAGCTAGTTAAGCTACAAGGTCCACCCTGTGAAATTCCTAGCTATTTTTGAATATCTTAGTTTGAATCAAGAAAAACATACCCCATTCCCATTGGTTTCGACTAGTGCGCCTGCTCCAGCACTAGCAAAGTTTGCTCCAACTGTAAAGTTGTGATTATTTGGCTCTAAGTAAGCTCTCCAATATGGTAAACCTGCATATGCGGCTGCAATAAAGAAACAGAGCAGTTACATGATTTAAACAACATAAAAATAAAGGATCCAATTTAATTGCAACAAGTTAAAAGGAAAGGTGTACACACACATATATATGTATGTATGTACCTGCAAAATCAGGAAGAATGCGTCCATCGCAGTGTCTTCCGGTTGGATACTGGAAAAATGTCTCCCCATATGGTGGGAAGTTCGCCTTGGCCTTAGAGGTATTGAGGAAGTTGTTATTACCAGGATCAAAAACTGAATCACCTAACACAAACATGGCAACATTTTTGTTGGACTGCACCCTGTCACTTTGGGAGTTTGTGAGGGACGTGAGAATGGCAAAAACAAGCAGGAAATAGAAGTGAATAGCAACTGACATGATAGACACTTGGCTCGTGACACTCGGCTCGTGACTGTCTTTATGAAGATTGAGGGCCAATATAAACAAATGATTTGGTCTCAGCAGTGCTCCTGATTTGGACGTCAAAATTGCTCCCGTCAAGTCATCAACGGATCTTCCTTCTCCGAACCTATTGGTGGCGGAAGCACCAACTAACTGTCAATGCATGCACCAACCAACACTCCCAATTAATAGTGAGATTTTACTGTCGCAGAGCTAGTACCTTGTCGAGTTGTAAATAACATTAAAGGAAAAGGAAGAAGACGATCGAAGAAGAAAAGCATTCAAGATTCCATCTTTAGAGCAGTAATGGGCGTAATGGATTCGCCTCCCATCGAACTTTCCATGGTTACAGGTGTAAAAGGTAGATCTTTCCGCTAAATCATTTAGTCAATGATAGAATTTATGTTGCTACAGGTGTAAAATGTAATAGCGCATGTTACATAGGTGTAAAGTCCTGACTTTCATATTAGAATTATAAAGGTAATTGATATATCAGTGTAGAAATTAATTATTATTAATAAGTATATTTTTGCCTTAGAGTTGTTAGGTGGTAGTGGGCTATGTGAATGAAAAAGTTATTAGGCTTTTCTATGAATATTTAAACTTTATTTGGAAACATTTATCTGTGTTTTAGCTTTGGGTTTTTATGTCTTTTAATTATTTTAAAAATATATAAATTATTAATTAAAATAAATATAAAATACATTTTATGTATTTTTAAAATATTAAAAGACCAAAAGATCTACTACTGCGCACCTGGCCCTTGAGGCCTAATGGCAATAGCCAGCTCGGTGCATTCCCCCCTCCCTCGGGTTGGGTTCGAAACCCGCTCCTTGCAAATATATTCAAAAAAAAAAAAAAAAAAAGATCTACAACTGCAATTACAATCTAGCACTTCTAAAATAAACTTTAGTTATTTAGTGTAATTGTCATGGACCGATAGAGTAAGAATCATGTTTTTTAAGATCCATTCCTTGAGCCTTACACAGAGAAATTCCAATGTTCTGTTCTGAAATAATCTTGTTATGGTTAACTTAAATAAATTCCATATAGAAAGAAGACAAACCTTTTCACAGTCAGGATTCAAATGCAATGAATGGAAGGGAAATTTTCAGGGGAAAGTTGGGATTTCTTGATCTCAGTCGACCCATGAATAATATCTCGTGCCCATGTTCTTGGGTCGGGTTATGTAGGTGAGTTGGGGATGGAAGTTCTGTCATGAGCTTTGGAGTGAAAGGAATATGTATGTAAAGGCTTCCTTTGGACAATATTTCTCCATTCTTTAGTTTTTAATTTTTATATCTTTTATTATTTTAAAAATATATAAAAAATTAATTAAAATAAATATTTAACATATTTAATATATTTTAAAATATAAAAAAATTTAAAAAAACTTATAATTACAATTACAAGTAATTGTTCTGAACCTAAACCCAAGTTAAGTTGTTGGTTGGAGACTTGGGTTGGGTTGGACAAAGGTTATTTATTGATTATGGGCTTAGTCATAACGAGTTTTAGCAAATGTGGGCCCTTTGTTTACTTTTTGTACTGTGGGTAGTTTGTTAATAAGATGGTTGGCCAACAAATAAAATGACTAAA